GTGGTTGATCAAAGCCATCTTCTAAAGATAAAACGTGTAACTGTTTCTGGAATTGAACCAGGTATTAATTGATACTTGATGTTTTCTAAATACAAACTTTTTACGGTGGGTGGTATAAAATTAAGTGGTTGATCAAAGCCATCAAGTAAATATAAACGTGTAACTGTTGCAGGAATTGAATCAGGAATTAATTGATATTTGATGTTTCCTAAATGCAACCATTTTACGGTGGGTGGTATAAAATTAAGTGGTTGATTAAAGCCATCAAGTAAATAAAAATGTGTGACTGTTGCAGGAATTGAATCAGGAATTAATTGATATTTGATGTTTCCTAAATGCAACAACTCTACGGTGGGTGGTATAAAATTAAGCTGTTGATTAAAGCCATCAAGTAAAGATAATTCTGTAACTGTTGCAGGAATTGAATCAGGAATTAATTGATATTTGATGTTTCCTAAATGCAACCATTTTACGGTGGGTGGTATAAAATTAAGTGGTTGATCAAAGCCATCTTCTAAAGATAAACGTGTAACTGTTGTAGGAATTGAATCAGGAATTAATTGATATTTGATGTTTTCTAAATACAAACTTTTTACGGTGGGTGGTATAAAATTAAGTGGTTGATTAAAGTCATCTTCTAAAGATAAATATGTGACTGTTGCTGGAATTGAACCAGGTATTAATTGATAATTGATGTTATATAAATACAAACATTCTATGGTGGGTGGTATAAAATTAAGTGGTTGATTAAAGTCATCAAGTAAAAATAAATGTGTAACTGTTGCAGGAATTGAATCAGGAATTAATTTATATTTGATGTTTCCTAAATACAAACATTCAACGGTGGGTGGTATAAAATTAAGTGGTTGATTAAAGCCATCTAGTAATAATAAATCTGTAACTGTTGTTGGAATAGTTTTGGGTAAGTGTTTTATATGTCCAATTACAAGGTATCTAGTTTTTATATGACTAACATCACACCCGTCTTGGTAAAATGTAAACTCTATATTAAAAGCTTTATTAAAGGAGTTAAATTAAACATTAGCGGAAAAAAATTAAAATAAAATATTTCATGTTTAAAATTTACATTTTAGAGTTTTTAAAACTTTTTTAACTAAAGGAATATCATCAAGAATTTTTAAATAACTGTTTGTTAGATCTTTGATTGAGTCGAGTTTATTTTCTTTAATTATTAATTGAGTATCTTTATATTCTGGTAAGTTAATATTATTGATACTTGATAAAAGATTGTTACATTGATGATTGTATTTTAAAAGTTTAATTAAACCAATATTATTAACATTATAATTAATATTAATATCATTATTATAATTAATTGCATTATTAATTTTATTATTAATGTCTTCTATTGTTGTTGTTATTATATTATTTATATCTTTATTTTCGTCAAATTTAGTTGTTAATAATCTTCTGATATCATTTTCTTTTGCATTGATAATAGCTTTTAATTCATTAATTTTATTTAAAAGCATATCAAAATTCTTTGTATTGTTATCTTGAATTTGTTTAAAGTGATTGTTTGATTCATCCAATTCTATTTTATTATTTTCTAAATTGTTGATTAGTTTTGGTATTGTTTGATTTTCTAATTCTTGTCGTATTTGATCTCTAATAATTAAATTTATATCACTTAATTTTTTTAAATTATGACCATTATGAATATCGTGAATACAATCATAACAGAGAGGAATGTAGTTTGGACAAGTCGAGCATATTGAAATAATATCTTGGTGGGGATGAACTAAGCATTTGGTATCATATTGTTGATTATTTGACATCATTTATTTTTATAATTTAAATTTTGTTTTTTACAATAATTATTTATTATTAAAAATTTTTTTACAACAACAATAAATTTAAATAATAAATTTACACAGAGTTGCGATCTTATAAAAATAAAATAAAATTTTTTTTTTTTTAAAAAAATAAAAAAAAATTTAAATTTTTTTAAATTTTTTTTAACAAAAATTGAAATTCGAGTGACTTAATTTAATAAATAGCTATAATTAATTACATATTAAACTTTTTTTATTTAAATTATCAAGTTTTTCAATATTGTAGTTAATTTTAGAATTTTATAATTTTTAATAATAATTAATAATAATAATTATGGAATTGAGATCTGATTTATTTTAAGTAATTCTATTCGAGTGATAAATTGTGAAATTGAAGCATTGTAAAGATTGAAGATAACCAAAACATAATTTTAATCTACTTATATATTTGGTAATATTTTACTACACTTAAAGAGAATGGCTAAAGTCAAATGACAGTGCTAAATCTACAATAGAGATAGGTAAAATACCAACTTGAATAGGTTGTGATTTGATCTTTGATTTGGTTTTATTGATAAAGGAATTGGATTCATTTGAAAGTTGGATGGGCTTGAAAAAATAAAAGGAAAGATTTGTATTATAAAATGTGTCATTTTTTGTGGCTATAGTAAAAAAATAATTTATAATTATAACTAAAGTAACTCCATCCTACATTACACTTTTTTTTTTTATTACTACTTTTAACAAAAACCTCTATGTTAATTCAGAAGTAAAGCTATTGTGGTTATAATAATAGTAAAAAAAAATTACATTAATCAAAGTTGTGGTGGTTATTTTATTTATTAATTAATATCAATTGTTTGAGCCGACTCAGTTTATCAAATACATTGCAGTTATGAGGATAGGATCAGTTATATTCAAAAAGGAGCTTGAAGTCCATTTTATAAAGGTATTACAATGGAGCTATTATGTTTAAGGATTATAGCGTTTGAAAATTAGCAAGTATAGTTTGATGAAGGTAATCATGTTGAACAGGTTGTATAGAATCTAGAACTCAGGGAGTGTTAAGAGAAGAGGTTATAGCTTAAAAGCTAAATTGAAGGAAATAGCTTGTGGGAGCATTCATTTGTAATTAAGACACTAAGTGGTAATAAGGGTTACAAATGAAATCAGAGGTATAATAAAGCAAAATTTTATTTACTTCTTTTTATTTTAAAACGTTTATTTTATTTTATTTTTATCAATAGTGTTTTTAAATTTCTGTCAGATAAAGAGTCTGGTATTGGGTGTGGATATTGCCAACTAAGCTCTATTTGGGTAACAGATTGAGCGACAGTATTTAATATTAAGATATTTATCTTTTACAAGGTAACTGAAATTTGTTTTTTTATTTTATTTGATTATAAATTTTTATTTTTGGATATTTGTATTTGGGGAGATATTCAATTCTTTGATCGGGGTTTGAAATGGAGTCAGGTTCTAAAGGATAGACTACATCACCCATATATATATAACTTATGGATTTAGGGATAATACCTTTTGTAAAACGTTGAGAGAAACCTCCATCAAATCTAAGAGTAGTTAAATGATTTGGAATTGAACCAGGTATTAATTGATACTTTATGTTATGTAACTCCAAAACTTTTACGGTGGGTGGTATAAAATTAAGTGGTTGATTAAAGTCATCTAGTAAGAATAAATGTATAACTGTTGCAGGAATTGAATCAGGTACTAATTGATACTTGATGTTTTGTAAACCCAAAACTTCTGCCGTGTGTGGTATAAAATTAAGTGGTTGATTAAAGCCATCTTGTAAATATAATTCTGTAACCGTTTTAGGAATTGAACCAGGCATTAATTGATACTTGATGTTATGTAACTCCAAAACTTTTACTGTGGGTGGTATAAAATTAAGCGGTTGATCAAAGTTATATCGTAAAATTAAATGTATAACTGTTACTGGAATTGAATCTGGTATTAATTGATACTTGATGTTTTGTAAACCCAAAACTTCTACCGTGTGTGGTATAAAATCAAGTGGTTGATTAAAGCCATCTTGTAAATATAATTCTGTAACCGTTTTAGGAATTGAACCAGGCATTAATTGATATTTGATGTTATGTAAATACAAGTTTTTCACGGTGGGTGGTATAAAATTAAGTGGTTGATTAAAGTCATCAAGTAAGAATAAATGTATAACTGTTGCAGGAATTGAATCAGGTACTAATTGATACTTGATGTTTTGTAAACCCAAAACTTCTACCGTGTGTGGTATAAAACTAAGTGGTTGATTAAAGCCATCTAGTAATAATAAATGTGTAACTGTTGTTGGAATAGTTTTGGGTAAATGTTTGATAGGTCCAATAGCAAGGTATTTGGTTTTTATATGACTAATATCACACCCTTCTTTGTAAATTGTAAATTCTATATTATCAACTTTATTATAGGAGTTAATTTAAATATTAATAAAAACATTAGTATAAAATTATAATAAAATATTTAATGTTTAAAACTTACATTTTAGAGTTTTTAAATCATCAAGTACTTCTAAATAACTGCATGTTAGATCTTTGATTGAGTCGAGATTATTTTCTTTAACTATTAACTCAGTATATATATATTCTGGAAAGCTATTATTATTGATATTTGATAATAGAGTGTTACATTGATGATTGTGTTTTAAAAGTTTAATTAAACCAATATAATTATTATTATTATCATTATTATCATTATTATTAACATCATTATTATAATTAATTGCATTATTAATTTTATTTATATTGTCTTCTATTGTTGTTGTTATTATACTATTTACATCTTTATTTTCTTCAAACTTAGTTGTTAATAATCTTTTGATATCATTTTCTTTTGCATGATAATAGCTTTTAATTCATTAATTTTATTTAAAAGCATATCAAAATTCTTTGTATTGTTATCTTGAATTTGTTTATAATGATTGTTTGATTCATCCAATATTTTTTTATTATTTTCTAAATAGTTGTTTAGTTTTGGTATTGTTTTATTTTTTAATTCTTGTTGTATTTGATTTCTTAAATTTATATCATTTAATTTTTTTAAACTATGACCATTGTGAATATCGGTAATACAATCAATACAGACAGGAATGTTGTTTGGACAAGTTGAGCATATTGAAATAATATCTTGGTGGGAATGAACTAAGCATTTGGTATCATATTGTTGATTATTTGACATCATTTATTTGATATCATTTTTTTATAATTTAAATTTATTTTTTACAATAATTATTTATAATTTATTTATTATTAACACTGTTTGATAACAAAAAAAAATAAAAAAAAAATTTTTTTTATAAATTTGATTAATTAATTTTTTATTGTTAAAAAATAAAAAAAATTAATTTAAATTAAATTAATTTTTTTTTTAAAAAACTAAAATTATTTACATGAAAAAATTTTCAAATACTTCAAGAAAATATTAGGATTCAAAGATATAATTATATTAAATATTTATTATCGTAATAATAAATATTTAAGTAAAATTATAATTATTTATTGTATGGAGCATATTACCCATAGTTATTAGTTTAAAAAAAAAAAATTAATCTTCCATGTGATAAAAAATCAGATAATTTATTTATAAATAAAAAATAATATTAAAAAATGATCCTCTAAAATAATTTGATTATTTTTTATTTAAACATCTAAAAAATTATATTTCTGTTTTTATTTTTTTTTTTTTAAAAATTAATTTTTTTTTTTTTTTTAAAATTAATTTTTTTTTTAATTATTTTTATTTTCAATTTATATTAAAATTTTAAAAATATAATTTTATTTAATCAAATCATGGTTAAAAAAACAGTAAATAAAATTGATAAAAATGCTAATATATTTAGTGTTTTAGATACATCAGATGATGACAATGAATACATTGCAAAAGAAATTCCGGTAGAGCCACCAAAAACCGAAATTGGAACTAAAAACAACGCTATCCAAAAGAAACAACCAAAAACTGAAACCAAATCAAAAAAAGAAAAAATTACTTCCACCACCTCCAAATCATCACCAAAATCATCAACTCCATTAACAACCACAACTAATAATAGTAATAATAATATTAATAATAGTAGTTCATCAAAAAATGAAGAAAAAACCAAATTAAAAAAAATTGAAAATGAAATCAATAGTGATTTTCAAGAAAACTATCAACAAGATGCCAATAAATCAATTACAAATCAATTTTATCAATGTTTATTGTAATCTTACTTATAGCTATTGTATTTCCATTTGAAAAACTTATTGGTTATGTTTCATCTAGATTAATTGCATTGGCCCTATTCTTCTTTTTATGCTTTCAAATTAAAGAATATGTTTTTCCAATCTTCAAAAACAACTCTAGAAATAAAATCATATCAGTAATTAAAACACAACAAGATTTAAGAAAAGAAAAAGAAACATTATCAACCAAATTAAAGGAAACAAGTGATCAAAAAGAAAAGAAAAAATTAGAAGATCGAATAGTGTATTTAAAAGCAGAAATCAAAAGATATGAAAAGTTATTTGAAGATCTAGATAAAGAAAATGAAAATAAACAACAATGATCCATATTTGGATTTTCATTATAATAATAATAAATCATTATCTTTTTTTTTTTTATTATAATAATAATAAATCATTTTAATAATTTAATTAAATAAAATTAACCAATAGAATCAAAAATAGAAATTATTTAATTACAATAATTTTGATATTCACCAAAAATTTCATTATTTTCATCCTAATAAAATTCATTTGAACTTCTTCATAAAATATAATTTTTAATGTGCGATACCAAAATTTTATTTTTAAAAAAATATTTATTAAATTTTTTTATATTTTATTTTTTTTTTATTATTTTTTTTTCTTTTTTTTTATTATTTTTTTATTTTTTTTTTAAAAAATATTTTTTACAATTCATTTAACACTTTAATTAAATATTTTTAATAACAAAAACAATATATATATATTTTAAAAAAAGTAATTATTATTATTATTATTTATTTGTTTATTATTTTTCTTTTTCTTTTTTCTTTTTTTTTTTTTTTTTTTTTTTTATGATCGGATGGTATTGGAAGAAACTGATGTGATCCATGCATCATAAAATAAATAAAAAATAAAATAATGCACAATATTTGCAAATATTAAAATTTTACAATACTAATATTTCTATTTTTTTTATTACAGTGGGCTTTTTTGGATTCATTGGACATTTAATTTTTTTATTAATTAAAACTCCTTTCCTCATTCTCTTCACTTTACTTAAATTAGTTTTCCACCCAATTTCATTTTTAGTTCTTTTAATTTCACTCTACCTCTATTATACTTCATTATCAGATAAAAAAGATTTACCACAAAGTGTTCAAAACTTTGCTCCAGTATTCAGACCAACTGGTAAAAATATCAATGGTACAAGAGGTGCTAAAGGTGTTAAAACAAGTAAATAAATCAGTCAAATAAATAATAATAATAATAACAGTATATAAAAATCATCATAAAATGTTCAATATAATATAACACACATCAATATTTTAATTTTTCAATCACTCAGTTACTATTTACAATTGTATCCATTGTAAATATTCTATTTTACTGTAAATGGTATATAAAAAAATAAAAAAAATAAAAAAAATAAAAAAAAACATATTATAATACATATTTTAATTTTTATTTTTTGTCCACTTTTGCAATTTTATTTATAAAAAAAAAAGAAAAAAAAAGTAATTTAATTTATTGGTTTTACATAAATATACAAAGTTTTTAACATTCTTTGTTTTAACGCAGAGACCTATATCTCTCTTTTTATTATTATTAAATATTTAATAAGGAGCTTTGACTAACTATAATACAAGTCATGATACATTGTTTTTGAAATCATCCTTTTTGGAATTACAAATTTTCTATTGTGTTATCAAGGTCAAACAAATCTTTATATAATGAGTCTATTAAAAAAAGTTAAAATTAGTAATAATTCTTTTTTTTTTTTATTTGTATTATTTACTTACATAAACCTGTATTTTTATTAATCTCTTCTAAAATCGTAGTTCTATTTGGCTTTTCTATTTTTTGGTTTTCTTTTATTATTTGATAAAGTAAATTTCCACTTATATTTTCATCAATTTCGTCTTTAATATTTTCTTTGTTTTTTATTTTAACCATTTCCTCATCCACTACTTTGTCCTCTTCTTTCCCCAATTCTCTGTATTCACCTTCTTCATTCAGACAGTAATTTTCTTCATAGTCTTCATTATCTTCATAATCTTCCTCATAATTTTCTTCATAATCTTCTTCATAATCTTCCCCATAATCTTCTTCATTTTCATAATCTTCGTATTCTTCATTTTCTTCATATTCTTCATATTTTCCATTCTCTTTTTCTTTTTGTTGACAAATATTTTCTTCGATCTCTTCATTTTCATAGTCTTCATAATATTCCTCTTCGCCATTGTTTTCATTTTCATAGTTTTCATTATATTCCTCTTTTTCTTGGTTGTATTCAGATTGCTGCTCTTCTTCTATATTAAATTGGTTTGTTTCTTTTTTAAATACATGCGTTATTTTTTTATTTGGATATCTTATGCTGTGAGGATTTAAAAATGTTTGTTTAAATATATTGATCATTTGATATTTATTATCATTTTTATTCTTGCTGTTATTTATTGGAAAAAAAAGAGAATCTGGTACGGGATCATACCAAATATCGTCATCTTCATCTAAATAATATTCCATTTTATTTGTGTACAATATAAATAATGATAGAATCAGATAAACTATATAAAGGGGTAAAAATAAATACAAAAAAAAAAAAAAATTAAAAGTTTTTTAAAAAATAAATTAAAATTTAAAAAAAAAAAAATAATCATTTTTTTCATTTTTCATACAATAAAAAAGATAAATAATAAAATGATAAAAATAATTAAAAAAATAAATAATGTAAAAGCGATACATATCACCCCATATAAAAAATGTTTTTATTTTAAATCCAATGACTTGGAAATAATGATAGAATCAGATAATAATAAACTAAATAACAATAAAAAGAAAACGGTAGATTTAATAATAAAGGAATATTCAAATGACTACAATCAATTTGAAAAATATTTAAAACACCAGGAACCGCAGGGAAAAGATTTATATCAATATATGGTATTATCAAGAGCAACTTTTAATGACAATGATATAATAGCAAATCAATTTTACAATACCTTTAACACATACTTAAATAATAGAATAACGATAGCAGAAACAGATGAAGAGACATTAGATTTTATATTAGAATTTTATTCAAAATCACTAAATAAAATAGATAAATTATTTTCAATCCTCTTTAATACCAGTGACATCAATAAATCACAACAATATACAGTAAACCAATACTTTTATATAATCGATTCAATAATGATAATTCAAAATAAACTTATAACAACAGAGTCGGAAGTTATCAGAATGAAACCTTTGATTTATAAATTCATAGATACAATTTTACAATATTTTAAAATTAATTCAATCTCATTAAATATTGGGAACTATAACAAGATATTGGAAGTGTATTCAAATTTTAATGATAAAGAATCAATTGTGAAAACTCTAGATGACCTTTACCTATCTTTTATAAAACCAGATATGAACACATATATGTTAGTATTCCCATTCCTAGACTCAAACCAATCAAGCACCCTCATGTCAAAAATAAAAGGAAATTCAAATTTCAAAACTGGTAAAAATACATATCAACTATTAAATGAACAATTCGAAAAGCTATTACAAGAAGAAAACAATAAATAAAATATAAAATATAAATATAAATAAACCAATAATTAATTAAATAATTAATTAAATTTAAAAAGTTTATTAGTTTTATAAATAAAAAAAAACAATTTGTTTTTTCTTTTTATATTTATTTAATTGTAAACTATATTATTGATATCTAATAATAAGAACTTATCTCTTGATTTTGTTTGTTGGTTCATTTTGGTGTTTGTTTCACTTTTCGAAAACTCTTCTATTGAAATTTGGTTTCTAGTAAACAAAGTTGCCCAATACGATTTAATAAATGCTCTTAAAAGTTCTCTTGGAATGTAAAAAGTAGTCAAGTCATCTAGTTTTGGTATTTGTTCGGTTTGTAAGGCACAAAGTATTGATAGTGAGGATGAGCTATTATTTAAAGTATTATTTGATCTTGGTGGTTTATAATAATTGATATCTACAATATTCCAACCTAAATTTTGAATCTCGAAACTAAATGGTAGTTGTATAAGCTTATCGGCATTACTAACTTCACAAACTTTACTACCGCTTGTACTTTTCAATGCTTCTAAAAATATTGTATTTGGGCCTGAAATATGGGTTTTTGATTTTGAAATTATATTTATAATTTCGACTGATTCGTTTAATAGAATTGTATCGATCATTCTATTTTCTTGAGGATCTTTTGAAAACTGTAATAAATTACTTGATAAAATATTATTTTGATGAGTTAATACATTGGTAATGATACCACAATTGCTGTTTAATAAATAAGAGAATATAGATGACCCCAAAATGGTTGGTGTAGTTTTGTTTTGGTCAAAATATGAAACTGCTAATAAAATATGAATATCCTCTGGTCTTCTAGATACTGAAGATTTGGATTGGTATGTTGTGACACTTGAGCTATGTTTTAAAAGTTGCTCTAGTTGCTCTCTACTTTCAATATCGATGTCTTGTGGTAAGCAATTGTAAAATTCGTTGAATAAATCTTGGTGATAGTCTACTGCTAGATCGATAATGCTAATTGATTGGTTAGTTTTCCATTGCTCAAGTGAATCTATTAATGGTATCCTTTCTCTTCTTGAAATACTATCCAACATTGTCATATAATCATGATCTCTTTCATACCAATTTGCCAATTTATGGCAATTATGATTTCTTTTTGATGTACTTTCCCAAAAGCTAACTATAAAACTGTTTATCAATGTGTTTGGTAAATAATAATACTGCTCTGTGCCAATATTCAACTGTGGTATTCTTGGTGTAATTAATACTAATAGGTTAAGTGATTTGCTTTTAATATTTTCAGTTGATAATGGTGGTTGGACATATTGAATATCTAATTTTCTCCATCCCATATTAAATAAAAATTCTTTTTTATAAGATATCTCGGTAATGTTTGTTTCAATAGTGTTACATTTGTTTGTTTTAATAGCGGCATCGACGCTGCTTTTACCTGTATCGTTTGATGGTAGATCTCTATGTACTTCATTTGATTCTAAAAATATAGCATTACAACCGGCTAAATTACCGCAATCAATTGCATTTTGTTCTAAAATATCTACAGCACGTTGAATTAATGCCCTTGCCATATTTTCTGATCTATTATTTGGACCATCACCAACTAAGAAATAAGTTAACAGACCACAATTTGTTTCTTTATGGTATTCGAATGCCAAACCACCACAAATAATTGGCTCTTGTTTTGATGTATCCTCATCTTCGTGATATCTTAATGCAACCAATAAATGAAAATCTTCGTTATCTATTAACAACTGTGTATCCTGCTGTTTCTGTTTCTGTTCTTTCTGTTGCTGTTGTTCTGAAGAAGTTGGTAACATTTTAAACCAAACATCCAATGGCTCTAATTCGTTTATACCTGGATAATTTGGAACTAATACTTGGTTATAAAATTTTGTAATTAATTGCTTTGAATCAAAACTATCTCTTAAATCTAATAATGTCCAGGGTCTATTCCATGGTAAATCTAAAAGTGGTATTTTCTCTCTTCTATTTAACTGATCCATCATTCTTCTAAAGTCGACATCTTGTTCCCAATCTTTATTTTCTAAACGTGAGTAACAACTTGCCCAAAAGACTCTTAAAAAATTTAATAGTAATGATGAGGGTAAATAATATCTTTCTTCTTTCCCAAACACTTGCTTTGGTATAGTTGGTGTTAATAAACAAGTTAATAATAAGTCTTTACATTTTCCACTTTCATTTGATAAGGGTGGCTGAATATAATCAAAGTCCAATAATCTAATACCTAATTTATAAAATATTGCGTGTCTCCTAAAATATAATAAATATTATTAATAATTTGTTTTTTTAAAAATAAAATAATAATAATAATTACTTTGCTGGATCCATAACATCATCTTCAGGTTTAACTTTTTCAGCAGAATTTGTTTCTAAAAAAATTGCATTACAACCAGATAAATGGCCTCTTGTTTTGCCATTTTCCATTAATCTACTTGATGCCTCTTTTAAAAGTATTGCAGCAAAACCTTGACCTCTATAATTTGTGTTTACTAATAAATAGGTAATACAGCCACAATTTATAGATGGATAGTACTCGAATACAATACCACCTAATATATTGGATTGGCCAGGTATAACATGCTCTGGTGGACATATTGCTAATAAAATATGAAAATCAACTCTATCATCTTCATCGCTACATTCACTATTAGTTGCTGTTGTATAAATATCTGCACCATTATTCATTATTATATTATTACTATAACTACTACTATATGTTGCACTTCCTTCATTATTTGTACTACCAATAAAAATTAAACTATCTTCATCTTCGTTTATATTATAATTACTATTATTATAATTATTAATATTATTATCTGAAATTATTTTATTACTATTATGATAACCAAAGCTATTATTACTATTATCGTCATTTAAATTATCTTCGTTATCATTAAACATCTCCACCCAATTTTCTAATGGCTCTAATTCGTGTTCATTTGGAAAATTTGGTATAACCAACTCTTGATAAAATCTTTCTAATAATTTAAAATCGTAATTATCTTTTAAATCAATAAAATTTGGATTTATTTTTATTTTATTATTATTATCCATTTTAATGGGAAATAATTGTGTTTTTTTTTTTTTTTTTTTTTTTTATGTTTTTTATTATACAAAATATCGTATTCCTTAATTCGTTTTTTTTATTATAATAAATATTTTTTTTTTTCTTTATTTTTATTTTTATTTTTTTTTATTAAAATTTTTTTAAAAATTTTTCAATTTTTTTATTTTTTTTTTTTGGGGTTAATCTCATTATTTGTTTTGGATGTAAATTATAACTATTTTTAAAAAAAAATTGACTATCAAATTTCCCGGTACAAGAAAACTATGTTTTTAAATTCTTTAAAGAGAAGGACCCAAACAAATAACAAAATAACTAAATTATTTTTCTCACATAGAGTCACTTTCAATAATAGTATCAACAATAGTGATATTAAAAACGATAATAATAAAAATAAAAATAGAAATAACAATAATAACAATATAAATAATAAAAATTTATTTAATTTACTTTCAACATATAAATATAAAGACATGTTTTTTGACAATAACAAAAATAATAATAATAATAATAATAATAACAATATGAATAATATGAATAACACAAACTATAATAATAATATGAATAATATAAATAATATGAATAGTAATTATTATAATAATAATAATAATAATAATATGAATAATATGAATAATATGAATAATATGAATAATATGAATACAAATAATAATATAAATAATTTTAATTCAAACAAGTTCGATTTTAATAACCTTAACTTTAATAATAATAATAACAATAGCTTTAATAACAACAATGATAACTTTATAAATAATGTCTTTAATCATAGTAGTTTTAATATCAATCTTAATAATATGAATAACTATGATAATAACAATAATAATAATAATATAAATAATAATATGAATAATAATTTATATCAGGGGAACAATAATTTAAACCAATTTAACAATAATCAAAATTTTAATAATAATATATCCAACAACAATTACAGTAATAATAATTTTGGTATTAAAAACTCTCCTTTTTATACAAACCCCGATAATATTGATAATTCCAATAATAACCCCAATCATCATTATAATAATAATAATAACAATAATGAATCAAATAATAATATGAATAATATGAGTAATAATAACAATAATAATATTAAAATGGATAATAAACCAAAAAAAATATCTCAATTTTTAACAGTAATACCACCAGAAGTCGATAAAGAATTTAAGGCTGCAGGAGTATTATTGTATGCGTATCATGAAGGAAAAATTAAATTATTAATGGGATGTGAAGATAGAACAAAAAAAGGAAAAAGTACTATGCAGAATTCAAATGGCTTTTATGCATTTTTACCATTTGGCGGCAAGGTTGAAAAAGGAGAAAAAGTAATCGATACAGCAACTAGAGAATTTAATGAAGAGACTGGTTTCATATTCAACGATAGAATAGATGATTTCCGTCAACTTTTCGAATCTGAAAACACACACAAACTTTGGGTACCAAATTCAAAATATGTTTTATTTTTCGCAAAAATTGATTACGATGAAAGCATTCCATCCAAATTTGCAAATATTGACAAGTCACTTTTTGATCACACCGATCAGTTATTTTTAGAATGGATTGAACAAAAAGAAATGGAGCCATGTAAAATATCCAACACATTGTTTAACCGTCCAGATGGAACCGTTGGTGAATTTGCCAAATTTTTCTGTTCAATGTTTTTCTTTATAAAACCATTCTTTAGGGCATTATTAACAGATTTCCAAAATGGTGGAAATGGTGCATTTTCACCTATAGACTTGTAGGTCATATATATAAAAATATTATATTAAAGTTTATATTTTATATTCTAACTCTCAACATTTATTACATTTATTAATATACTAAGGAAGACAGGAATTTCAAGACAACAACAACAACAACACCACCAGAGACAACTCTCACACCACTCAACTGTAAAAGAAAGAAAATTAAAAAGAAATAAAAAAAATACAAAGTTAGAACAAATAAAAATGGTCACAAAAAAATCAGATACCAATGTAATTACCACCAATAACACAAACCCCAATACTACCACTATTAAAAAGACAAAGAAAACTAAAACTGCAGAACAATTAGAAAGAGTGAAAATGAAAAGAGTTCAGAAAAAACAAAGAAAAATCTTATTTAAATCTCTAAATAATAACAAATACAGGAGCCACAACAATAAATA